TAAGCACTTAATGATAGGTAATATAATTAATACTTACATAACTAAACTCACATTTGCTGTCCTGTTTGGGTTTTTTTTGTTTCTACCTTATGTAAATCGATCATGAAGATGATGTGGACATTCATTCTTAATTATTTTGCATGGAATTAAATTTTGATCTTCACTAAACAGAGATGGTATTATAGCATTCGGGATCTGATTTCGTACTTTCTTTAATAGTTGGTAGACCATAATCAATAGTTGATTGATTTATGTCATTGGTAACTAACATATGGAATGTATAGCCAGTGTAATAACTGCAATTTGCATAGCATTAGCCAGTGTATAACGACATTGTTTGAAGCATCAGTTGGGTTGTGACTCTCCATGCAGTTGATGGAAGTAAGAAGATTTGGAACATCATCCTGTGCAGTTATTGGGGAGCAAGTCCCATTATACTCCATGGGACTGACTTTTTGGAGTGATGGTGTATTTGATGATATCTCTCCTTTCAATACTAATCCCAAAGTTTATGCTCTCTCAATTTGTCATTTCTTTCTTTCTTCTCAAGCCCCCCTTTTATGTTTTACTTGTAATGCCACTTACTTATACTTTGCTGCACTAAATGGGTGTTGCTGAATTGCAAAATCTTAAAATAGTAATAATAAATCAGGTGGTTTCAATGTGTCTGCAGTCCAAAAAGCTCTTCTTGGAAATGCACGTCTTCTCCCTAGGATCCCTGATCATCACCATTAATCTGCAAGCACCTAAGAGTGAGACTAAAATGCAAATGTTTCTCAAATGCCCCTGGCTGTGGATTCTTGTGGCCACAACTGTTGTCATTTGCCTAGCCAAAACTAACCACACCATTTCTTAACAGATCACTATCCAACCTTCTCTTAGCCAGAATAACTCCTGCTGCCTAATGCAGAACAAAGCAATAACAGAAGAGAGAGTAAACCCTGTCTAAAAATCAATACAAATTGTTGAGCGCCTGGTTAAGCGCACTTTTTATTGTTGTTGCACAAATTCAAAAAAGTGCCAAGTTCAAGCTGGGTGATTTATCTATTTAGAGATTCTTCTTTTGCAGCTGCAGATTGAATCCGAACTGGGCCAGCAAGAAAGAACCTATGCAGCCACGCCTTGGACAGTGGCAGACTTTGGCCTCTCAGATTTCATTGGCAAACCTGTGCAACACTAAAAAATTTCCCCGCTGCCCCTGCCTTTTGCACTCCATCCCTACAGCATTGTAGTGGCACCCTCTGCAGCAATGACCAGTACAGCCACAATGGTCACGCGAACCTAAGACAACCTCTGCCTTGGGTTCTTTTTGAAGAAGAGAAGCATCATGAGCATGTGATGTAGACTGGGCTCTGTATTCCATCTTTTGCTTTGCGTTTGAATCACCTGACAAGCATTATACAGAAGGGAAGGGAAGCATTGATTCAAAACTCTAAATAACTTCCCTTTGTCTCACACTGCACCTGCCTTGCACTTCACTTTGGCTGCTTCGCAGTTTGCAGTTCCTTTTAATTTCATGCCCTACAGTGGGAAGAAGGAACTGTTCTGCCTTCCGTTCCCTGGAATAATTCCAGTGCCTCATTCCTGGAAAAAAGAGGGGGAGGTGGGAAAGCTTTTTAACTAACAACTCACTCTTGCATTTTGTGCCCTCCCCATTGCTATTTATTCAGGGAACATTCACCCAGCGGAACGCTCAGCTGCATGACTGTGCCATGCCATGCCACGCTCTCTCTTCTTGGGCGATGACTGTTTGCTGCCATTTTCTCCTGTTGCTGTGCTGCGCTTCCCCAGAATCCTAGAACTGTAGCATTGGAAGGGACTCCAAGGGTCATCTAATACAACCCCCTGCGATACAGGAATCTTTCCTCCCCAACATGGGGCTCAAACCCACAACCCTGAGATTAAGAGTCTCATGCTCTACCGACTGATCTATCCCGGGGATAGATAGGATGGTTATCATAACACCTCTCAGTCTCTTTTCCAGGCTAAACAAACCCAGCTTCCTCAAATGAAGGCTCTTACATTCTTCAAGGGAGGTTGTCAGCAATTCGGCTGTGCAGGAAGAGATTTGCCGATGCCGCTCTGCCTGTTCCCACTCCATAACAAGTGATGATGAATGCAAAAGGCTTCCCAGATGTAAAATAAATATATTTTATTGAACAAATAATACGCTCCATAGCAGTGCTGTAGCTGCACGTGCCAGGCTGTGGGCTGGGTGGCAGGGAAGGAATTTGCACCTGCTTTCCCCACCCTAGAGCCCCAACGGAGCCGTAGTCCAAAACACCAAAGCCGGCAGGAGTGAGCAGGCTGGGGAAGGTTGTTATGTACAAACCCAAATGGCGCCAAGGAAAAGCGGCTGGTGCCACTTGTTCCTTCCCAGGGCAAGGCATGTAGAATCATAGAATGGATTCGTTTCTTATTTAGGCATTGCATAAAATTTAAGCACTACCGAACCGGGACCAATGAAACTATAACCTGATCAATAAAACTAACAATAACCTAAAAACAGAATAAAGCACACATCAACAATCTACATTTCTGGACAGGCTTGTCTAAAGAAGAATGTTTTCGGTAGGCACCAAAAAGAGTACATTGAAGTCACCTACCTCTGACAAGGCCTCCCACCTGTCAGCAAGTCTGTGCTAACTGCAGCTTCCAGATACTTAGAAATAGAGGTAGAGAAGGGAAACGGCTTGATTGCTCTGAACCTTTCCGTTCATCCTGCTGCTATTTTGTTGGGCAAAATTAAGACCAGCAGCACCCGAAGCATCCTCACCAGGAAATAAGTTCCTCTGAACTCCTTGGGAACTTCTCCATCCTAAGGGAGCATGTTCAGAATGGGCATTCATCCCTCCTCATCAGGGATCCTTTTCCCTGAGAAGTAAGCCAGCCTCCTGTGTTTTCAGGTCAGATTATCAGAGAGAAACACAAGGACAGTCTCACATTAGCCAATGAAACAGCTGCGGGAGCTTGCAGGAAAAGATGCACGGAAGCAGAATGACTAACCGGATTAATTCTGTGAGGTGCTGAGGGTTCCAGGGAACTTGCAGCTCACTTGCATCTGTAGTGCAGACACCAGGGCCTGGAGTTGCCCTCAGGACTTCGAAAGCCAGGGCCCCAAATCCTCCTCATTGTTTTCGGGTGACACATTTTTGAAGATTACCACTCCCTCGTGCAGGCAGGAGAAACCCAACCCTAATCTCAATGGCTCCCTTTGAGCAAAGTCCCTGTCACTCCAATTATATCAGACGCTCCTTTGTGCTAATCAGTTGGGTCCACCCACCTGGCACCTTCCTTCTGGTGCTTCCAGCCCTCCTATGAATGAAGGTGGCAAACACTGCCAGATCAGAACATAAGAAGCACCACCAGAGTCCTGGGAAATGTGGGGGGAGGCTTCATTCCTTTTATGGCCCCTAGAGTTTTAGAGCTTGATCACCTATTGCTAATCATGATGCAAACTGACAACAAAGGAGCGAAACCTGCTTCCCTGAATTCTGAGCAAGTAAAGAACATTCAGAGCATGGCAGTCTTACAAAATGCATTCATCTGGGGGGTCAGGGAACATGGATCTGTTCATTCCAGGTGATGCCCACAATAAAAATCCTGCAAAACGTTTGATTCTGTAATGCAAAGCTCAAGCAAAACATCTCCAGCAGAATATTGTTATGAGTTTGTGGGGGGCTAGATTCCCCTAAATTCCTGGGTGCCAGGACCTCCCCATGATTCCTGGATTTAGTAGTAGTAGTAGTAACTTTATTTATACCCCACCAATCAAGGGTTGTTGTTGTTGTTTAGTGGTGTCTGACTCTTCGTGACCCCATGGACCAGAGCACGCCAGGCATTCCTGTCTTCCACTGCCTCCCACAGTTTGGTCAGACTCATGTTTATAGCTTCGAGAACACTGTCCAACCATCTCGTCCTCTGTCGTCCCCTTCTCTTTGTGCCCTCCATCTTTCCCAACACCAGGGTCTTTTCCAGGGAGTCTTCTCTTCTCATGAGGTGGCCAAAGTCTTGGAGCCTCAGCTTCACAATCTGTCCTTCCAGGGATCACTCAGGGCTGATTTCCTTCAGAATGGATCGGTTTGATCTTCTTACAGTCCATGGGACTCTCAAGAGTCTCCTCCAGCACCAGAATTCAAAAGCATCCATTCTTCAGCGATCAGCCTTCCTTATGGTCCAGCTCTCACATACATCACTATTGGGAAAACCATGGCTCTGCTTTTTAAGATGCTGTCTAGGTTTGCCATTGCTTTTCTCCCAAGAAGCAGGTGTCTTTTGATTTTGTGACTGCTGTTGATTAAACTTTGCCAAACTCAGAAACCCCCTGAATTTAGTTATGCTAACAAGGCAAACCAGCTCTGTGGAGCTAGCTGGGTGGGCCATTAGCAGGGGACAAAGGCCAGTGATGGCCCATCAAGAAAACCATTGGAGGGCAAGACTGCCTGGCAAGGGGGAGTGGGACTCCTTCTCTGCTGGGTGTCAGTGGGCAGAGGCAAAGTCTAGGTTTGGGGTTTCACCTTTGGATGATGTAGCCTGGGGGAGGTCTTTGGAGTCAGTTAGTAGCGAGGTAGCTCAGTAAAGAAGGAGTGGCAGAACTTCAAGTGAGCTGGAAATGACAAGCTGAAACCAAAAGACACAGAGGGTGGCTTTTTGCTGTCCTTTGAATCCAATGCTGCCCTTATGGGGGAAACCAGACCTTCATAGGATGGCTCTGCAATCTCTCCATCTAGGTGCAGGTTGCATGTATGTGTAAATAAAACCATGTATCATAAAGACACCACATTCTCCACTGTGCCGCATTGTCCCAAAAGGGAACACAGACCCTAATAGGTGGGCATGCAACGTCTGGAATCTCACTCTTGTGGAGATGGGGTGGCGTGTAACAATATTATGAATTTGAGAGTGTCCCCCTCCACTCCCAGCCAGGGCTTCCCTCTGAATCTTCTCCACCCCCTCAAACTTACGGTACCTTTTCCATTCACTGTCTAAGACAGTCTCTGACTACTACCCTAGTGCAATGTCCCCACAGACAGGAAAGATTAAGAAGAGGGAGGCTTTGTAGACGGGAAAGGCACCTGTAGCTTAGTGATAGAGCACCCGATTTGCATGCAGAAGGTTCAATCCCTGATGGCTGGTTGGAATGTCCCTTGCCTGAATCGCGGGAGTTTGGCTGCCAGTCACTGTAGAAAACATTGAACTCAATGGTCTGAGTCAGTAGAAGGCTTCTTCCCGTGTTCCATTTCTCCTTTTGCTGTGGTTCCTTTGTAGGTGAACCGCTTCTTCTCCCAGTCTAGCCATATACATTTCACTGTTTAGAAACAACGGCAGGAGGAGCAGCTGCAACCTGAGATCCCAGGGCGTTGCATCTACCCAAGATGCCTTATATGTGGTGAGACATGGGAGCCTTCAGTTCTGGGCTCAACCCATCCTAGGCAGCTGCCCATCCCCTCCCTCACCTGTGGTTAAATTTACAAGGGAACCTCCATTGCTCGTAGAAGCCCTTCTCTCCCCCCCCCCCCAATTTTTTTTATTGGTTTTCATAATTTACAACAAACACACATAAAAGAAAAAACATTACAATATTAAAAAGAAAACAAACAAACAAACAAACAAATAAACACCTAACTGTTTGAAGCCCAATTTAATTTTCATTGTTAAGCAACTTCCTCGAATCCCCCCTGACTGAGTTTCCATAAATCTCATTGTAGCAGTTTTCCAATATCCACTTTCCAATAAAACATAGAAGCCCTTCTCACTTGTGCCTTGCTACAGACTCCTGTTGGGGAGGAAGGAGAGAATGGCATGGCGGTGGGAGAAGAAGCACCTTTTATTCATCCAGACTAGGCAGAGCCAGCCTCTTTGTTTCTTGCCATCTGTCACTCCCAGTGACATCCAGTAGCCCGGCTGGGAGATGAGGAGGGCTCCAGCCTGACACCAAGAAAACATTAACCATTTGGAGCTCGGCTGCCTTGCAGTCGATAGGGGTCCAAGTTTCTTTGGTGACTCATCTGGTCCACAAACAACCTGACCTAGAGCATCCACCCAACTGTGGGTGGGAGAACACTCAGATGTTGCAGATTCATTGACGGATGGGACCACAAACAGGTTGCAGAATCACAGAGTTGGAAGGGACCTCAAAGGACATCTAGTCCAATCCCCTGCAATTCAGGAATATCAACTAAAGGTCACATGGGCTAAGGGTGGAACCACTGATGAGAAACACCATAGACCCGTAAGGACCCTCAAGGCGGTGCTGGACTACAACTCCCATCATCTGTGACCATTGGCCATGCTGGTTATTGGGGCTGCTGCACTCAGGTCCAGCTTGCAAGCTTTCCCTAGGCATCTGGATGGCCTCTGCAAGAAAAGGATGTGGGGTTAGATGGGCTTTGGCCTGATCCAACAGCACATCATCTTCTTATGTTATATTCTTACACTATTGGGACTTGAGTTCAGCAACATTTGGAGAGCATCCATGTCACAGACAGCAGATTTTTTAAAAGGGTTAAGTAGAATAAGATTCAATCAGGAACTTTAAGAGAATGCCTTCACTTTATTAGGAAAAACTAAGTTTCACTATAGTGTGTGGGGGCTTTTGATTTATACAAAGCTCTTTGTCTTACTGGCTGCTAAGAGAGAGAGAGAAAATGTGGGAAACCTAGTGGCAAGTCTCATTCTAAGACTGAGAACGGAAAAAATAATTGCTGAACTCTGCCTTGCGAAGAAAATCACAAGCTGCAGAGTGAGGGACTGAGAAACAGTGGAGGTTCTCTCTTTGGAAATACTTTTTTAAAAAATCCAGTTGGTATCAAACCTCATTTATTGATCCGAATGCCCACCAGAATGCTCTTCAGCTCCAAATGGCTCTGCTGTTCATTCCTCAAGGCCACTCCTTGGCACGACACCAGCCACAAGCTAGACTTGCACCTGGGGATTCTCCTTAAGGAATTCCCCAGATCCAATAAAACCTCACTACTTCAAAAGCTGCCTAGAACAAGGCTTGCATGACGGCAGGGACAGGCTGCTACAGAACAATAGGAAGGAGATTCACACATTGCCAGAGCCCCAGAGTGATCGGAAAGATAGCTGGAATATTCCTTACAGGACTGAGAGACTCTGTACCATACATGGCAAATTTCCCAACATGCCTGTGGGCTCTCTCGGTTTGAAGGCTGACTACTCTTCTGCTTGTAAAGGTTAGCAAAGTGCACAGTGGTGACGTCTGGAGAAACTTTTCTACTTACATCCCAAAAGCCAGTTAAGGAGGGAGTGGGGTAGGGGGAATACCAGAGTTTGTTAAGCCAGACACCTGCTGGAAGATTCAGGACAGATAAAAGAAGGGACTTTTTTCATGCAGCACAGAGCCAAACTATGGAACTGGCACAGGAGGGAGCCACCAACTTGGATGGCTTTAAAGGAGGATTAGATAAAACCATGGAGCAGGAGAGGGCTATTGATGGGTACTAGCCAGGATGGCTCTGCTCTGCCTCAAAGTCAGAGGTAGCAATGCTTCCAAATAGCAGTTGCTGGAAACCTCAAGAGGGTGGACAGCTCTTGTGTTCAAATTCTGCTTGGGAGTTTCCCACTAGGGCATCTGGTTGGCAGCTGTGAGAACAGGATGCTGGACTAGATGGACCACTGGCCTGATCCAGCAAGCTCTCCTTATGTTCTTTGGCTCAATGTTACATTAGATGTGAGTGACATAGGAGATCCATCTCTTGCAGGTTTGAAAACTGTTATTAGCAGTTGTAAAAGGCCTGATTCAGATCAGGACTGCGATGCTGGGGGGAAATCTAGCACCAGATGGGTCCTGAAGAGTCAAGATTATGACAATCAATGAATTTCAAGATGTTTTTTGCTCATGCATCCTTGCTCACTATGAAGGCAAGGATGCTGGGCTGCATCATCCTTTGGTCTGATTCAGTAGGGCTCTTCTCTTTTTAGAATCAATGAATAATTGAAACAGAGAACTGTAGAGTTGGGAGTAACCCCAAGGTCATCTAGTTCAACTCCCTACAAGGCAGGGATGACAGCTAAAGAATCCATGGCAAGTGGCCATCCAACCTCTGCTTAAAAGCCTCCAAGGGAGGAGAGTCCATAACCTTCTGGGGGAGTCCATTCCACTGTTGAACAGCTCTTACTATGAGAAAGTTCTTCCTAATTTTTAGCTGGAATCTTCTTTCTTGTCATTTGACTCCATTGATTCAGATCCTACTTACTGAAGCAGCAGAAAACAAGCTTGCTCCATTTTCCATATGGCAGCCTTTGAGATATTTAAGATGGCTACACCACAGAATCATAGAATTGTAGAGTTGTAAGGGATGACTAGGGTTATCTAGTCCAACCCCCTGCAATACAGGAATGTGCAGGTGGCCCATAAGGGGATTAAACCCACAGCTTTGGCATTTGCAGCACCACACTCTAAGCAACTGACCTAACTCAGTTCTCAGCGTCCTTAATGCCATTATGTTCTTCATGGATTGATGGTCTGCTGCTAGATTATGTACTGCAATGGATTTATAATTGCTGCTTTTTTTCTAACATAAAATAAAATCTCCAGTCTGTAACTAGATCCCTTCCTGATCCCAGATAATGCCCACTCTGAGCAACAGCAGTGACTTCAGTCCGCCAACCTTCATGCTGATGGGATTCCCTGGGCTGGAGATGTATTATCACTGGATCTCCATCCCATTCTGCACTATCTACCTCATGGCCCTTTTAGGTAACAGCACCATCCTCTTTGTCATCAAGACCAGCCCAAGCCTTCACCAGCCCATGTATGTTCTCCTTTCCATGTTGGCCATCACCGACTTGGGCTTGTCCATTTCCACCTAACCGACGGTGCTGGGGCTCTTCTGGTTCAATGTGAGGGAGATTGACTTTAACGCCTGTGCCACACAACTCTTCTTTATTCACACCTTCTCTTTCATGGAGTCCTCAGTGCTGTTGGCCATGGCCTTTGACCGCTACATTGCTATCTGCAACCCACTGAGATACAGCAGCATCTTGACAAATTCAGCGTTAGTCAAGATTGGCCTGGCCATTGCTGCAAGGAGTTCAGGCATTGTGCTGCCAACACCATGGCTACTCAGGAGGTACAAGTACCCCAGGGGCACCCTGCTGCTCTCCCACTCTTTTTGCTTACACCAGGATGTGCTGAAGCTCTCTTGCTCTGACTCAAGAGTAAGCAGTGTCTATGGTTTGTGTGTTGTCCTTTGCACTTTGGTGATAGATTCTCTGCTCATCCTGTTGTCGTATATGAAGATAATTAAGACCATCACAGTCATTGCCTCCAGGGAGGAGCGGCTCAAGGCTTTCGACACATGTGTCTCCCACATCTGTGTTGTCTTGATCTTCTTCATTCCCGTGATTGGGGTGTCAATGATACACCGATTTGGGAGGCACATTTCCCCCGTTGCTCGTATCCTCATGGCCAATGTCTACCTCCTCATCCCACCAGTCCTCAATCCCATTGTGTACAGCGTGAAAACTCAGCCCATTCAGAAGGGCATCCTGATGGCATTTGGTAAGAAAAGGACCATCCACTAGGAATGGCTTTGGATACTCCAGGTTTCCACTGAGAATTCTTCAACTATGTTGCTTTATGGTTCATTTACTTGTTCATTGTTTTGGTTCTGAATTTCTACCCCACTTTCTGGCTCCTGTCCCTACAGTGCTATACAGCCCAAAATACAAACAACAATTTAAAAATACATGCACTGGATGTTCTGGGAAGGAAATAGAAATGTTTTACTTTGCCGCTGGATTAGATATTAAAAGCTTTGTAAATTCTGAAGCATGGAAAAATCCTGCTTTGGGAGGTGCTCGTGTGGGAGGGGAATGAATTGGGGGGGGGGAATTAAAGGTTACACTACGTGCTTTCTCATCAAGTTTTATTTCACTGCTTTAACAACATAAAATACATAGTTCATAATTTAGTATATAAAATTGTACTTATTTATGAAATTGACAGAGCAATCCTGCCCAACATACTCAGTAAGTTGTAAGTGCCTTTGAGGATTTTTCTACAATCAGGCAGTGTATAAATTTTATGAAAGAAATACATTTCCATATGAAAATAATGAGGCATTCCATTGGTTTTCAAAAGTCACAATAGTAGAAAAGTGAAATTTGAGGGAAAGTCTCACTGATTTGCTGTTGTTGTAAAGAATTTAATGGGATTTACTTCTGAGCAGACATGGCTAGGATTGCAGTTATAGTGCACATCAACTGCCTTTGGCAATAAATTGAAACAAGAAAAGGCACCTGTATACATCAATGAATATGTAAATATCTATTGCAAAACATTTTTGAATGCATTTATAAAAAATATTTACATACTGCTATTCATTAAAAATATCAGATCAGTTTACAATAATTCTACATAAAACCATACAATAATAACCATATAAAAATATTAAAATCAGAAATCAGTATTCTTAATTGCCTTCACAAGTCTGATGGAACAGAAATGTTTTCAGCAGACTTTGGAAGTTAAAATATAATCACTATTAGCAGAGTATTGCACAATACTGGTTGATGACACCAAAAGCTCAGTTTCTCATGGTCAACTGAGCCTTGCCAACTCAGGGATCAACGAACAGCTCTCCTGCAGATGATGGCGGAAGGACAGTGGAACAGCATCTGCCTTGCCTGAGGAAGGTCCCAGGTTCAAGCCCCAGATATGACTGAGAGAGGCTCCTGCCTCAAACTCTGGACAGTCACAGCCAGTCAATGTAGACAAGACAATGGTAGGTGGATCAGTGGTCTGAGTCAGCATAAGGCAGTTCCCTATGCTTTGCTATGCCTATGAACTCAGTGACTTAGCTGGGATGCAAGTGTTCAGGTGATCTCTAAGGCGCACTGGACTTAAGTGGTTCAGTGCTTTGACGAGGACCTTGAACCTGGCTCAGTAGCAGACAGGGGCAGCCAATGCAGTTGTTTTAACAATGGTGTCAGATATTCACAACCACATCCCCATCCACAGTCTGGTTGCTGCATTCCGCACCAGCTGGAGTTCCAAAACAACATACTCATCAACTGCCCTAGAAAAACTAGGACATTTTGGGCGCCTTGTTCTCGCACAATTTCAGGTTGAGATCTTGCCCCCCCCAAAGCATTTTGGGGGGCCTGCGATTTTGCATGTTTTTTGACACTGTGCCCCCCAAGCACTTTTTCCAGGTCCATGATCTCACATGGGTCACATGACTCACACGGGAAGTCAGACCCATAAGATGATGGATTTGGGCCATGTTGTGTTGGAGGATATGAAACAAACCCAATAGCAGCTTCATACACAGTATGTTGCCTTGAGTTTGCTAAGGTACAGCCTTAGTTGGCACATTAGACAAAGCTGGTAAAAGATACTCTTGGTCACAGAGGACACTTGGGCCTCCAGTGACAAAGTTGTGCCCAGGAGTATACACTTGCTCCTTCAGAGGGAGTGTACCCCCACCCAAAACAGATGGGTTAAATTGCCTGTCACATGAACATGGCAACTACCCACACAAAGAGCTGCCATCTTCCCAGGATTCAAGCACAGTTTATTGGCCCTCATCCAGTCTACCGCTGCATTCAGACGACAGTTCAGAGCTTTCACAGTCGCTTCTGGTTCAGATGTAGTGGAGAAGTAGGGCTGTGCGTCATCAATGTTCTGGTGGCACTTTGCTCCAAAACTCCTAATGACGGCTTCCAACAGTTTCATATAGTTATTAAATAGCACTGAGGAGAGAACAGTACTCTGTGGAACCCCATAGCACAAATGTCAGGGGGCTAAGGAACACTCACCCAGTCCTACACTCTGGACATAACCTTGGGGGCAGATGATCCTATCTGATCCTCTGGTTGCTGCAAGTCCAAACCACACCATGAAGAGGTCTGACCATGACATTCCACTCCTCTTATTTTCAGACCACCACTACCCCAGGAAGACCAAAGACTTAAACAAGGCTATGCCCTGCTCTGTGCATTGGACTGATGACCATAGGAGACAGGCCCATGGTCACCATGCAGGCCATGAGCTTCCAAAACAGACCTGAGGCATCCTGAGCATGGATTTTAAAGCCACCCAAAACCACAGTTCTGGGTTTATCCAACACCACCCCCAAGATAACCTTGGCCTGCTTGAGGCTTTACTTAACTTTTTACAAGTAACTTGTGCATGTTTTTAAGGGAAAATGTTCATCCTAGAGAACTAAGGTGAAGAGCTTTCACAGAGAGAGTTTCTGCCACAATGGAGGTCAAATGGAAGGATGGAAGCACATCCACTTGATTGTCATTTTCAAGAGATTCCTCTGACATGCCCAACTGGGAGTCGGTCACCTTAAATCCAATGGGACTTACTGCTGAGTGGCTAGCTATAGGATTCCACTGCAAAATAAATAAAAAATGTTCAGACTATGTGGCACAAATATTTTAAACATACTGGTAGCTACAATGGCAACAACTCAGCTGATCCCCAGCCACTTGGCCACAGATGGAGGTATTGCAAAATTTACCTGGCTCCCAGGAATTTGTCCCAGGCTTCACAGTGAATGAGCTTTGCTACTTAGCAGCTCCCAGGGGCAGCTTCTGCTGAATGCAAGCGCTTCCCAGGAGAGGTGCAAAGGGACATATAAAGAAGGCTCTTCTGTTGTGATAGTGTTGCAGGCATGAGCCCATGTCCCTAGGCTAGGGGATGGTTGTCTTCTTATGACAGAGCTTCAGAAAGCTGGAAGAAGGCACCCCAAGCCCACCTGAACCAACCTGCTTTGAATCCTCTAACTGAAGGTCATTTCGGTAAGCTGTGTTTCGTTTATACTGTGTCGTGATAGATAAGTAAATGGAAGGCGGTTAGACAGGGAGAGAGGAAGAGAGAGAGAGAAAAGACCTGCTTAAACCCCTAACAAGTTCACAGAATCATACAGCTGTAAAAGGGGCCTAAAGGGCCTCTGCAATGAGGTTGTAGCAGGCTTTGCCAACCTGATGCCCTCCAGATGTTTCAGACTACAACTTCAAAAAACTGTGATTGAGGTTGATAGAAGTTGTGGCCCAAAATTTTGGCAGCACAGAAATTGTCAAAAGCTGGTTTGTGAATTTTTTTTAGAAGGGAAGGCTTAGTTGTTATGCAGAGATGCTTCATCCTATATAAAGGAATGAGATGCTAAGGTTTGCAGTTGGCAGCCTTCTTGATAAAGTGCAGTGAAACACAAATAGGGAGAGGCCTTGGGTGGTTGGGTGGAGAATGAAGGTGCCATTACCTCAACCTTATCCATCCTTAAATGCTACTCACAAAGAGGCAGCATGACAGAAACAGAATCATAGAATCATAGAGTTGGAAGAGACCACAAGGGCCATCGAGTCCAACCCCCTGCCAAGCAGGAAACATCATCAGAGCACTCCTCACAGAGCTATCCTCTGATATTCACATTTCTCTGAATTTTGTGATGCAGTTCTCTAACAAAGAAATCTGTACAGAAAATGTATATATTGGTAGTAATGTGCAAGAAAATGCACGTATTAGTGAAAATGACATGCACACATGCACAAAATTAGGGGGAATTGCTTTCAAAAATGTGTGTGCTAGAACTGCATACAAAAATGTGTGTACTGTATTAGGAAGAGTTTGCACTACAATGCTGACCGATTTACACAACGATATTTTTTTCCAGGGGTCTGGTCTGCTGGGTGGTGGCCCTGCAACACCTGAAAAGGCTTGGGTACAGTCTGCCATGGCACATGTAGACAATGCCTTGTGGCTCCTTGCCACCATCATTGAGGTGCCCAAGTGGCTAAATTCCTGATGACCAGTAATGCTGATGCAACTACTGTACAGCTTTTGTAGAAAGATGTAGACCCTGCCCACCTTCTGCACATGAACATAACCTGTTTTCCCCCGAAAGGGACCCATCAGTAGATCATTGGGGTTTTAGCTGTTTAGGGTTAGGGTTAGGGTCACAGCATACCCAAAACAGGCAGCCATCTGCTCTCCAGCAAAGTTGTATAGGGGGCCATATGTCACTTCCATTTAGAAAGGTGACATATTCATATGTCAGGCTTCCTTTATAAATGCCAGCAACAAAGTCTTCACTAAAGTTCCCATTGAACTGATGAACCACGACAGATTACTCAATCTAACTGTCACCAGCCTTGAATCATAGAAAGTAGAGTTGGAAGGGACCTCAAGGTTATATACTCCAGCCCCATCCAATGCAAGAATCTCAACTGAAGCATCCATGACTATCCAACCTCTGCTTAAAAACCTCCAAGGAAGGAGAATCCACCTTGTGAGGGAGTGTGAGGGAGTCTGTCCCACTATCCAACAGCTCTTACTGTCAGAAGGTTCTTCCTGATGTTTAGTCGGAACGTCCTTTCTTGTAACTTGAATCCAGAGGTTCAGGTCCCCTGATCATCTTGGTTGCCATCATCTGCACAGGCTTCCCTGCAATGCTCAATGTCCACGTGACAATGGAAAAGCAATTTTTGATTCACACTTAGCCTGGAAGGGGGGGGGAATGCACACCACTCAAGAAAATAACTTTTTGAAAACCGCTTTGAGGTTGTTGTTTTCCCCTGCAATCAAGTGGTGTGTAAACTTTATGAAAGAAATAACTGCGTTTCTTTTAATAGAGAACAGCAAAGAATACGGGAGAAAGTTCTTGGAAGGCTGTCATGTCCTCCAACCACTCAGCCTTCAGTCCTCCTGTGTTCCTCCTGACAGGCTTCCCAGGGCTAGAAAAACACCATGCCTGGATCTCCATCCCCATCTTCTCCATGTACCTAGTGGCCATTGCAGGCAACAGTACCATCCTCCTCCTCATCAAGACAGACCAAGCCCTCCATGAGCCCATGTACTATTTCCTCTCCATGCTGGCCATGACAGACCTGGGCTTGTCCATTACTACTCTGCCCACCATGTTGAGCGTTCTGTGGTTCAGCCACCGTGTGATCAGCTTCAACGCCTGCCTGGCCCAAATGTACTTCATCCACACCTTGT